GTGTTTATTTTCTAAGGTAAGCACCATGTTCATAAACGAGATGGAGAGGGAGGAGGCACTAGTCACTGTAAATACATGAAGGTGGAGCTCATTGAAGGTGGAAGCTTGTCTTTGAGGCAGACATGGGCAGGAAGCAGTAGACACTCTGGCAAATGGCTCATTTGGCTGGCTGTTATACCCTCATGTCTTCTATTTAAAATCATTGATTTGCCTTAATACTCAAGAGTTACGGAGTGCCTCTTGTTCCTTTCGTTAAGCTTCTATCCCATGATTTTCTACAATGTAGGAAGATTCCTTATTCCCAAAGGCAATGTGACACTCCCCTGACTCTGTCCCTGCACTCATCACATTCATCTCTCTCACTGAAGGACTTTGTCAGGCTGCTGTGTAGAGCTAGGGATGGAGATGTGTCAGACACCTAGGGAATTTTTGATCCTGCCCTGTGCTTTTCTGGTGTTCCATAATAGCTTGTGAACTACTCCCCAAACTTTGATTCATGCTACACAGGTTTAAGAGAGAATGTATGCGTTTTCCCTTCCTCATCTTCTCCTCACAGGAGGAAATCCAGAATTGAATCCTGCATCCACACATCAATTTGAATGCCACCATTGTCGTTTAGTTGTGGTTTTTTTAGGTGTTTATTAATCTCAAGTCATCTGTCAGGGTTGGGGGATCCAACTCAAGAATTGTGGTTCTAAATATACCTGTGAGTTGGCATCGTTTTGTTTTTCTAACATTATTACTTGTTGTTTGTTTTTTATTTTGTTTCTTGGAGACAGAATCTCACTATGTAGCTCAGGCTGGCCTCAACGTTTGTAATTCTCCTGCCTCAGCATTGCAAGTGGTAGGATTATAGGTAGGAATCATTAGACACATCTTATATAGAAAAATTAGCCAAGGTGACATTTATGTACTTCATTTTAATGCCAGCTTGCTGATTACAGAAACGGAGAGAGTTTGTGGCTTTTGTTTGGTACTACATTGCATTTATTAAGCATTTATTATCTACTTAATGGATACAAACTCTTGAACCAAAATGTGCATAGATGATAAAATACTTTAACTCAACAAGATTAAGTGTTGCTTCATGAAGGAAATGAATCATTAAGAGGTATTTCCCATTACATTTGAAGAATAAATTCATTGCCTTGTGTTTAATCTGTGTGTTGGTTATCTGCCCAGGTAATTGTTTCAAATACACATTTGACCATATGTCAGCATTTATAAACCCAGACCCAGTACACAAGTAAGAAAATTTTACTTTTCCCATCCTTTTAGTATATTGATGTAAAGTTGTGTTCTTTGCCCTTGAAACTGACCATGTGACTTTGTGACACATGACAGCCATGAGAGAAAAACACTTAGAGAAGGGAAGAAACACAAGAAATGACTCCAAAAGTCTTATCATATGGAAATGGATGGGCATTAACTTGCTTGCTTCACAGAATTGCTATGCTCAGGCAGAGCTGTGGCTGGGCAGGAAAGATTGTTTATGGGATAGTTTACTCAGAACAAGCAACATTTTGTGTGTGGGGTCAGTGGGAGAGTGTGTGCATACCTGGGGGTGAACTCGGGTTCTGATCCTCCTGAAGTGCCAACCACCTCATTATTTTCAGTCAGGGTCACTCATAGTCTGAGACTAAAAAGGAAGTTAGGTACTAAAGGATGACTGAGGTTGGGGTTGAGTTCAGTTAGGTGCTCCTCCAAACCAAATAGCAGGGCAGATGGAGAGCCTTGCCCTAATGGTTATGGTTAGGCTGACTAGCCAGTAAGTTCCAGGCATCCATTGCTCCCCCCTCTTTGGTGCTGAGACTAGATGCTTGTATTACCATGCCTGTTTTTATTTGCTTTTAATTATAGATTCTTAGGTTCAAAATCTCAGGTCCCTATGGTTTAAAGGCAAGCATTTTCTTGACTGACCCCGAAAACACTTTTGAGCCAGGCCAACGATAGTAAAATCAAAGTGGCTAAAACTGATGATTTTGATATGTTAAAATGCTATATTTGTTCAAGCATTCTCTCCTACTGGAAACTCGTGGATTCTGTGTCTAGTGGCATCTCTGGGCTAGTTCAGCATCTCTCGGGACCACAGTAGAGATGATCTTCCTAGGCCTCACGACAAACTCTGCCACTTGTCCTGTTTATTTTGTAGTTCCAGGCAGCGATGGAAAGTGGACAGTGAAAAAAAGGGGCTATGCGCTCCTACAAGGAAAGAGGCAGTTAGGTACTAAGGGACAACCAAAGTTGGAATTGAGGGCAGTTAGGTGCCCATTGAAACCAAAGAGCAGGGCAGATGGAGAGCTCTGCACTAATGGAGCTTGCTTTATAACACCAAGAAAGAGTTTTTCGTCTCTCTTGGTACAATCCAAGCTACTTGATTTTGACATGGGAGACCCAGAGCATCTGTCTTCAGAGGATATTTTATGTGTGTGTGTGGGGGGGTATGTGAAGGAAAGATGAAAACGAAGAAAATGAAAGAAAGGAGAAGATGGATATAAAGATGGAAGGGAATAATGAGGAGAGGAGGAAGAAAGGAGGAACAGAGGGAAGCAGAAGGAATGGAGGAGGGAAGAAGGGAGGAAAAGGGAGTAGGATGTATAAAGAAGATCCCCTAGCCTCATCTCAGTATCTACAGGCACTTATCTCACCCAAGAAAACCAGACCGTCTCAGAATAGAGGCCTGGCTCTCCAGGCTGAGCAGCACTTGCTCTCTTCACTCCAGTGTCAAGCTTCTACTTCACAAGGCATCTCATCTCTGCAACTTGGAAAAGCTGATTTTGCTTCTGTGGCTCCGGATAGGGGGATAACAAATGGGTCAGCATAATTACCGAGTGCCCTCACCCAACAAACCAGCTGCTCAACCACACTGTAAATTTCTCAATTTCCTTATCTTGAAAATGCAAAACATGCTATGAAGATTTTTATTTGAATCATGTTGAGACAGAATCAGGATGGAATCATTCCCAAGCATCTCCCTGGTCCTGAAACAAGCATCCCTAGACCTGAATGAGCTGAGCACTTCCTGCTTCCTCCAATTCTGCTATATTGGTTGAAACATTATCCAGGAAACTTGGGTGCTGGAGATTGACTGGGTCAATAAACCCATGCAATTTGTTTTGAATCATAACCACAAAAACTGTCCGACATAAACTTCAGACAGAAATAGGAGGATAGTCAATCTGGCTTTGTTCTATGATCTTATCATTTTACTCGTGCTGCAAAGGGAAGTATGATAAAAGCCCCTGTTCATACTTCAAGAATGTGTACCAAATTCCAGACATCCACTGACGGCTGATCTTCACTTAAAGGGAATGATTCCTACTAAGAATGCATAGAGAATTGCAAACATCCCTGGCTCATCCAACACACTCTGACCAGATGGAAGGTTTTACTCTAGACCTCCAGGGTCACCATGTGGCACCTTTACCTCTTAGAGAGCAAGTACTCCTGGGGCTCTTGCACACTTTCCTAATTTATTTCTCAGTTTTTTGTGCTCCTCCCACAATCCCTATCCAGGTTCACACTTAGGTGGGTATGAGAAAGACTCTTGGATATAATAAGATACATGGGGCAGGAGTCTTCTGCTCTTAAAGGTGATGGAGAGGGGCTTGGGCCCCTCTCCGCAGTGTGATGCAAGGTGGAGAATATCTTTAGTATGCTATAAATGAGAATGCTCTCACTTGGTCAGAAGTCCTGCAGTAGCCTGGAAGAAGGGAATTTGGCTGTGTTACAGACATCCTGTTGTGCCTCTCATTTCTGATTTCTGAGTCCTTTCTGTAGCTTTTATAAATAGTGGCTTTTCACATATATTTTTCAGGAATCCAATCTCTGCATGATATAAAGTATAGGGTACAATGTCCTTTAAGTGAACAAGAGAGTCAGCATAGGTAGAACATTGTCTCAGCAAGAGACTGGGCATCTAGAGCCAGAACGTTTTCCTAATGGCTGCTTGGACCTTCCTTAGGAGTTCATATCTGCATGCATGGGTGGAAGGGTCCCCGAAGAGAACATTCAAGACTTGGGGAGTTGCCAGGAATAGCTCCTCTCCCAACTACTGATACAGTCTCCTCAGATGAGGAGCTCTCTTTCCAAAGAGGTAGTTATCAGACTTCCCTGTCTACAGACACAGGTACATATGCACTGACACTTAGGGACTTGTGAGATGCTGATAAGCCATTGAGGACACAAAGCAGCTTTCATACTCATAGAATATATCTGCAAGAATGCCTCAATTAAAAGTTCCAGTCAAAGGCTGGGAGTGCTGCTCAATGGACAAGCACTTGCCCAACAAAAATGCCTAAAGTCTTACATTCCACCCCCAACAATTTCCCTGAAAAAAATCAAATTTGTAACAAGCCACATATGGATATAAAAGGGATGTAGAATATAAAGACAAATAGGGGAAATTACAAGCAAAATAATGAACTTTTAATTCTATTCAGTTCAGTCTCAAAGATAACTGCCATCGTTCAAAAAATACATGTGTATATGTGTAGATACAGATGTGTATATTTGCATGCACACAAATAGGATACAAATATAATACGCATGTGCATATATATGTATATACATTTTTATATATGCACAGGATATATTCAAAAGTCACGTCTATACAAACATGTTTCTCAAGCATGTACCCAGATATATGCGTACCCATACTCTCATGAGTGCATATATATGCACAGACAGTGGTTGAGGCATTGACATAAGTTTCAAATTTACTTTTCTATAATTTGGGCTTATGTGGGAGCTTGTGTCCTGTTCTGAGGAATTCTCTGTAAATGTCTGTCACTTCTTATATCCTATGGTCAGAAGTTACTGTTGTACCTACACCATACTCACCGTGTTTGTTTCCATCCTTGCAGCACTGCTGTTTGCCCTTTGAATCTTACTGAGAGAGGGTAGACCCTGTATAAACAGGGTTGGGGAAGTGGTCCTCACCAGACTACATTACATGTGCACCTATCTCATGGTATCCTGCTCTCTCTTCTCTCGCATAGTGCCTGGCTTCCCATATCCAGCCGCCACTGCTGCAGCTGCATACCGAGGGGCCCACCTGAGAGGCCGTGGCCGCACCGTGTACAACACCTTCAGGGCTGCAGCGCCCCCACCCCCAATCCCGGCCTATGGCGGGTAAGTACTGCACCCTCCTGGGAGGGGGGCCTCTCTGCACCTGCTCTCCCTCCCCAGAGGCACGGAGTGTTTGCGAGCGCATGATGGTCTTGACCACCCCACCAGAACCTCCCCAGCATGCAGCCTAGCGCGCCTGCTGCAAAGCACCTTGCAAAGAGTATTGAAAAATGAGTGTAATTTGTCTGGTCATGGTTGGTGCCTTTAAGCATTCTACATGTCACATGTTGTTATGTAAATTCTCTTTGAGACTGAATGCTGGAGAACAGAGAAATGGTTACAGCCAAATATGTATTTCTGAGGACTGCAAGCATCTGGTTATTAAGGAGGTTGGACTACATTTACTCCTTGAATTCAAAGGGACATGAGGTTTCCCATACATAAAATTCACTGGGGTAATCTTGCTTCCCTCCCCATAGACATTTTGCACTCCCAGGTGTATGAACTTTTGCCTGAGAAAATTAGATATTGAGTCAAACACAACATGCCAGACAGGAATGAAATTATAGTTAATTTGCCTTTTACTTGCATTTTCCACAATGGCCTAGCCTGTCCTTTCCCCTCCATGGGGAAAGTGAAAATGGATTTGCTTTCTAAGGCTAACTGAGGCTACCTGTGATTGGATGTTGTTACTGACAACTAAAGATCTAGGGATGGTTGGGAAGAAAGGAAGGAAGAAAGGAGGGAAATAGGATGGAGGGAGGGAAAGAAAGATTGACTAACACAAGGGAGAACGCCTGAAATGGCACTTCCTCTGTTCTTTCATTAGGGATCTTGGAAGGGCATTCCTCCACCTCTGAGCATGAAGAGAGAGAGGTGCCTGTAGGGCAGTGGCCCTACATAGCACAAGGTCTAGGATACTTTTGGTTGGTACAACAGGATAGGAATGGACAGACTTTGCTTAAACACCCTTTGGTCCTTAGGCTAGCCCGACCCTCAGGACAAAGCTTTGCTAAACTCAAAGTGTGAATTGAGCTCTACTTACCTCTCAAGTTGCATAGAAAATTCGGCTACACTAAGGAGGATCTGGTGTGAGCTTTTCCAGGCCAAGGACTAGCTTTCTCGTCTGTAGAAAGACTGTGTCTATGCTCATGATAATATGAAAAGGGTTAAATGCATTTTCTTAAAAGCTTTGTTGCATATAAATCTTTTAGGAAATCTGAATTACCCCAGCTCACTTGCTATACTGATGACAAAGGGAAATACTCTTGTCATTGTTTATTTATATCTCACCCACTCCAAAAGAGCCGAGCTGAAGTGTGTGAAAAAACAAAGACTATGAAGCAGACTGGAGAATATGCAGGAATGAGGCTAGGTGAAATCATCAAAACAAGAGAATAAAGGCAAGATAAAGGAACAAGATGACTGACATCCAGTTTCTTGTGTAAGTCATTACAGTTGTTAGTCAGGAGAGGTTTCTTAGTGGGTCAAAATAAACAAGAGAGGTTGTAGATGATATAAAATAAGAGCCACCTGGCTTTAAAGTCTCTCCCTGCCCCCAGTGTATCCCTATGTCATATAAAGGACCTTTGATTCTATAATCTGTATACCACCCACCCAGCATGAGCCCATTTGATATATGGGCTCTGGAAGGCATTGGGGAAAGTGTAGAAACAGATAAACAGTCATCTAGGTTCATGTTATTGCTAAAGGAAGGTTCGTTAGCTGTGAGTGTAGAATAGCACATTTAAGCCACTTTTTTTCTGTCTGAAAATCATCATCTTAGTACATGGTAATTGTAGTTTCTCTGTATATACCCTAGTCAGTATCTCACTACTATATTGAACACGAAAGAATAAGTAAAATTATATGGCCTATCCTCCCATGAACAATTTGTAAAAACCTCAACATAACACACCTGCTATAAAATTGAAATTTACTAACTTATAATGAATGTGCTCTTTGCTGGGAATAACCATGCATAACTAATTAACACCATGTTCGCCAGGGAGAAACAGGCACTTCCAAATGGTACACAACATGTTTGTGACTCTTTTGGAAGGGATGGAAATGTAATATTCCAGGAGTCCTCCTGACTATCCTAGCTGCAATGGTGGCTTATGCCCTTCTGCTTCCTTGAACATATCATCAGTCTATATAGAACATACAACAGAACACAAGTGATAGCATGTGCCAAGGGAAGGGTATTGAGTTGAACTGTACTCGGGGGAAAGATCTTATGGCTGAAATTCTGGAATTAGAAGTTAAAATAGACTTCTCAATGACAGAAGCTGGAGAAATAGCTCACTGACTTAGAGCAGTTGTTTTGCCAACATGAAGACCTATGTTTGAATCTAACACCAAGTTAAAAAAAAAAGTTAGGCATGGCTAGGGTTGCCTGTAATCCCAGCAGTGAGAGACTGGAGATAGGCAGATCCTGGGAGCTCACTGGTAGCAAGACTAGCCCAAAAGAGCAAGCTTCCAGCTCCCAGAGAGTAAAATGATAGAAAATGCTGTAGGTCCTGCATTGCCCTCTGTGCACACTTACAGGTACACTCATGTGCAAGCACCATACATACACATACCATACACACACACACACACACACACACACACAAATTAATTAATTAACTATGAAAGATTCTCAACATGGGGCAAAAGGCTGATGTCAAGAATCTGCAAGACACAAAGTACTGGTGAAAAACAGAGATTTGGTTAGGTGCCTGTTTCCCTTTTCCCCGTCTGGATTCATTGGCTTAGAAGGAAGGTAGTCCTTCACTCATGGAGCAATACCTTTGCCCATGGACAATAAAGGATCAAAGAAATAATCAGACAACCCTAACACACAGCCAGAAACTCACTATCAGCTGCCAATAGTAAGTGAATCAGACTCTAGAAAGTAATACAGGATTTTACCACCCTAGAAATTTACAAGGAAATACAGTGTGTTTGATAGGAGAGTAAAGTATGCAGCAGCTGCATCAGGTTGATGAAGGATGAAATAGGAAGAGCCCTACAAAGTTACAGCTCAGTAAGACCAATGCTAGCATACATCTACTGGACTGCAGCTAATCTTGTTGAGGTTGATGTGACCATTGACATTTTTGTAAGTTGCCAATGCTCCCCACCCTCAGTGCTCCCTTTTCTTGAGTTGGTACAGAGGCTAATCTTACATCTCTTCCTTCATGTATATTTTACCTCTTTACTGGGGAGCCCCTGCAGTTCACAAACAACATATTACCCACAAAGCACAGACATAGTCTTAGGAAGAGGCACAACAAAAGTTTGTGGATTCCGTAAACTAAGCATAGTACCTCAGTTAGTGGGCTGTCCCAGAGTACAATGGATAAGGATGCTCCTATTTCTCCTTGTCATTACTGACATTTTACTGAAGAAGCCACAATGTCCTATTGTCCAGTTTGTCATGTTCATGAGAAATTATCCATTATGGAGTTGCCATTTAAAGGAACTTTGAAGGTGGCAATATAGGTAGAATTGGGCACATACTCACTAGACTGAGCCCAGCATCCCATATAGGACGCCATGATAATCTGTACATCCTTGAGTAACTTAAATTAGGACACTTGTACACACAACTTCAAGAATTACCTGGAAAAGTATTTTAGGGCAATTCTTTATTACCTAAAGATCAGACAGCACCCCAGGAGCAAGTATCTTAAAGTTGCCCAATACAAGAATACACCCGAGATCCACAGCCATAGGTTCATGCACAACAAGTTCCTTCAGGGGTGACCAGGAAAATGGGGCACAGAGGCTCAGCACCTATGCTCAGACACCAACAAGTCCCCCAGAGTCTGCCACCTCACACATGTGAACAATAGTCACCCCAGCCCTGGGCTCAAGAAAGGTGTGGCCCATCCCACATACTTTCACTGGCTCCAGTGAGGGCAGGACTTACACAGATTCTTTTGGTAATCTTCTTAAAAATATGTACTTTCCCTGGGAAAATGTACATATACAAATACATACACAGTTATGTACAAATACCAGTGTGTGCATGGAGCTACCTGATAACAATTCTAAACAGTTATAACTGAACATATTCAAAAACATAATTTATTTTCCAGGTGAAGGGTCAGTAGAGAAGAGAGGTTTTAAATGCCTTTGCTACAAAAATACATTTGTGGTTGGTATATACTCTGTTACACAAACAGATTGCTTAGTTTGGGGCATCCTCTGCCTTTGTTCCTTCCTTGTCCTTTTTCTTCCCTTTTCGTTTTTTTAAGTAAACTAATTTGCTATAGTGCAATGATTTCTTGCTTGCCTCTATCCAAATATTTAACTACCACTATTACTTTCTTAAGAAAATGAGATGTGAATTTGCATCATGCTCTTGCAAAAGCATATTGCAGTCCTAGAATGATTGACAAGCAACACAATTACCTTTGCATGGCTAGACAGACCATTTCTGCATTAAGATAGGACCGCATCTATTCCGTGTATGGCAGCAAGTCCCTTCTGCACTGTGGAAACTGCTGTGTATCTATAGCTGCATCCTCCACGTGGACCCCCATCTTCTTTTCCTCCAGTTTGCTGAGGCATTAGAAAAGCACTGGGAGCCATTCCTAGAAAGGACCATACAACTCTGTAAGGACAATCTCACACTCAGCCACTCCTCAAGAATAGTGTCTTGGGGACTTCGATATCACTCAGTTTTCAGAACACTTGCCTAACATGCGCAAAGTCCTGGACTTGAACCTTAGCATTGCAAAACCTGGCACAGAGGTTCACATGTTATCCAAGCACTTGGGAAACTGAAGTAGGAAGATCAAAAGTTCAAGGTTGTGTTTGACTACATAGTGTGGTTAAGGCTAGCTTGGGCTACATGAGACTCTGGGAGGTGGGGAGAATGGGCATAGGATTCCATAGAGTCTGAGCTTCAGTCTCGTCATACATGTAATTAAAAATAACACCTGGAATATGTGACTTAGCAACACAATAATTCCTTTCCTATGAAGCAACATTGCCCATCACTTGAAAGAAATGCAAACCTTTCACCACCCACCCTATCCAGATCTATTGAATCAAGACCTCTGTATGCC